AATCCACTCACCTCAGCCTCCCAAAGGCGCGGGATTATAGGTTGAGCCACCGAGCCTGGCAGCCATGGAGATTATTTTATTCTTTTAAGATATATGACTAAAACAGAAAATAAATTCAACCATGCAGCATGCAGGGGGCACTCCTATCCCTCCTCCTTCTCACTTGAGTCTTTTTTTTTTTTTTTTTTTGAGTTGGAGTCTCACTCTGTTGCTCAGGCTAGAGTGCAATGGCACGCTTGCGGCCACCACAGCCTTGGCCTGCTGGGCTTCGGCGATCCTTCCGCCTCAGCCTTCCAAGGAGACGGAACTACAGGCTCCACGCCCGGCTAGTTTTTGATTTATTGTAGAGACAAGGTCTCACCAAGTTGCCCAGGTGGGTCTCGAACCCACAGGCTCAGGCAATCCACTCGCCTTGGCCTCCCTAAGTGCTGGGATTACAGGCTGAGCCACCAAGCCCGGCATTCCTCTATAATTTTAAGTAGTGTATTTATACCAACATTTATAGATTTGTCACCTTCAGACATTACCTAGCAACTCCTTTTGTTCTCCCATATCCTCCACTTTTTTTTTTTGAGTTGGAGTCTCACTCTGTCACCCACACTGGAGTGCAGTGGCGTCTCCCGGCCACTGCAGCCTCGACCCACTGGGCTCCGGCGATCCTTCCACCTCAGCCTTCCAAGTAGCCGGAATTATAGGCGTGCGCTACCATGCCCGGCTGATTTTTGATTTATTGTAGCGATGAGGTCTCGCCAAGTTGCCCAGGCAGGTTTCGAACCCGCAGTCTCAGGCAATCCACTCACCTCAGCCTCCCAAGACGCGGGATTACAGGCTGAACCACTGAGCCCGGCCACTTTTTTTTTTAATTCATTTTTTTTTAGTTGGGGTCTCACTCTGCTGCCCAGGCCGGAGTACAGTGGTATGATCACGGCTCATGCAGCCTCAACCTCCTGGGCTCAGACGATCTTTCCACCTCAGGCTCCCAAGTAGCTGGGACTACAGGTGCGTGTCACCATGCCCAGCTAATTTTCTGTAGAGACGAGATCTTGCTATGTTGCCTAGGCTGGTCTCGAACTCCAAGGCTTAGGTGATCCTCCTGCCTTTGCCTCCTGGAGTGTCGGGATTACAGGAGTGAGTCACAGCACCTGGCCTATTTTTCTTATTTTCTTTTTTTTTTTTTGAGTCGGAGTCTCACTCTGTCGCCCAGACTGGAGTGCAGTGGCTGCTCCCGGCCACCGCAGCCTCGACCTGCTGGGCTCCGGGGAGCCTTCCACCTCAGCCTTCCAAGTAGCTGGAACTACAGGTGTGCGCTACCACGCCGGCTGATTTTTTGATTTATTGTAGAGATGAGGTCTCGCCAAGTTGCCCAGGCGGGTCTCGAACCCGCGGGCTCAGGCAATCCACTCACCTCAGCCCCCCAAAGGCGCAGGATTACAGGCTGAGCCACCGAGCCCGGCTTTTCTTATTTTCTTAAACAGCTTTACTGGGATATAATTCAAATACCATACTATTCACCCATCTAAAGTATACAATTTAATGGTTTTCCCTATAGTCACAGGATTGTGCAACCAACACCACTATTTTAGGACGCTTTGGTCATTTCAAAGAGAAACCCCATTCCCCATCTGCAGACATCTTCGAACTTGCCTCTCCCCACTCAGGCCCCCACAGATCTACTTTCTGTCTCTGGGGATCTGCGGTGATGGCCAGCTCTTCTGAAGGGAATTCTACACCATGTGGGCTTCAGTGTCTGTTCCTTTCACTAGGCGTCCTGTCAACGTCTTGTCAGTGATGGCTAGGACATTAAACGTCTGCTGTGACCGCCTTTCTGCAGCCATCCAGACAACATAACATACCTGCTTTGACATTTCTAATGTGCTTTGTAAAGAGAAAGATAAATAATAACAAAAGGATGTGCTGGTTCAAAGAATGAAGTGAATTTATCAAAACAGTTGGTTCGAGCTTTCAGGATTTTTTTTTTTTTGAGGTGGAGTCTCACTGTCACCCAGGCTGAAGTACAGTGGCACATTCATGGTTCATCGCAGCCTTGACCTCCTGGGCTCAGGTAATCCTTTTGCCTCAGCCTCTCAAATACCTGGAATTACAAGCATATACCACCACGCTCAGCTAATTTTTTTTTCTTTTGTAGAGACCGAAATCTTGCTATGTTGCCCAGGCTGATCTTGAACTCTTGGCATCAAGCAATCCTCTCACATCAGCCTCACAAAGTGGGATTATAGGCGTGAGCCACCATGTCTAGCCTCAGCAAGTCTACTCAGGAATTTATTCTGAAGATAAAAAATGTTAAGAACGAGTATAGCGATTTAATGGCAAGGATGTTGATGACAGCAGTGTTTAATAAAAATAATTTTTAAAAACACATACACACAAAACCCTTCATGCCCTCAAATAGGAGGCAAGTCAAACAAACTGCAGTATAGTCATGCATTGGAGTCAATGCGACACCACAAGGCCATCACAGTTCCAAATGACGCTGCGAACACATCTGATGGGTAGCTAAGTAGAAGGAAAAAATGGGCTACAAAACAGCACACAGGCCAGGCTCGGTGGCTCAGCCTGTAATCCCAGCACTTTGGGAGGCCGAGGCGAGTGGACTACCTGAGCCCACAGGTTCGAGACCAGCCTGGGCAGCTTGGCAAGTCCTCGTCTCTACAATAAATAAAAAATGAGCCAGGTGTGGTAGTGCACCTATAGCTCCGGCTACTTGGAAGGCTGAGGTGGCAGGATCGCCGGAGCCCAGCAGGTCGAGGCTGCAGTGGCCAGGAGCGTGCCACTGCACTCCAGTCTGAGCGACAGAGTGAGACTGCAACACACACTCACACACACAAATTTTTCAATTAAATGTTTTAGAAGCAGGGTCTTGCTATCTTGAAGTCTGATTTTGAACTCCTGGGGGTCAAGTGATCCTCAACCTCCTAAGTAGCTGGGGCTACAGGTGTGAGGCACTATGTCCAGCTCAGATGGTTTTTATTTAAAATTTATTTCCTGGCCAGGTGCGGTGGCTCAGCCTGTAATCCCAGTACTTTGAAAGTTCAAGGCAAGAGGATTGCCTGAGCCCGGGGATTCGAGACCAGCCTGGGAAACTTGGTGAGACCTCATCTCTACAATAAATCACAAAAACTAGCTGGGCGTGGTGGCGTGCATCTGTAGTTCCAGCTACTTGGAAGGCTGAGGCAGAAGGATCGCCTGAGCCCAGCAGGTGAAGGCTGCAGTGGCTGGGAGCATGCCGCTGTCCTCCAGCCTGGGTGACAGAGTGTGACTGACTCAAAAATAAATAAATAAACAAATAAATTTTAAAAAGTGATTTCCTTACTATATTGTCTAAAAGTCCTATATTTTAATCATTAGAAAACTTCAGAAAATGCTGGGCTGGGCACGGTGGCTCACGCCTGCAATCCCAGCACTTTGGGAGACCAAGGTGAGAGGACTGCCCGAGCCTAGGGACTCGAGACTGGCCTGGGACACTTGGCGAGACCTCGTCTCTACAATAAATCAAGAAATTAGCTGGGCTTGGTGGCAGGTTCCTGTAGTTCCAGGTACTTGGAAGGTTGAGCCTGAAGGATCACTTGAGCCCAGAAAGTCAAGGCTGTGGTAACTGTGAGTGTGCCATTGAACTCCAGTCTGGGTGACAGAGTGAGACTATGACTTTAAAAAAAAAATAGAGCCAGGCTCGGCGGCTCAGCCTGTAATCCCGCGCCTTTGGGAGGCTGAGGTGAGTGGATTGCCTGAGCCCGCGGGTTCGAGAACCACCTGGGCAGCGAGACCTCATCTCTACGATAAATCAAAAAAAAAAAAATCAGCCAGGCGTGGTAGCACATGCCTGTAATTCCGGCTACTCGGAAGGCTGAGGCAGAAGGATCCCCGGAGCCCAGTGGGTCGAGGCTGCGGTGGCCAGGAGCGGCCACTGCACTCCAGTCTGGGTGACAGAGTGAGACTCCAACTCAAAAAAAAAAAAGAAGAGAAAAAAAAGAAAATGCTTTGTCATCAGAGGCTGAAAGGTTAGGGCATCCCTGGGTGTGGAGGCAAGGACGAGAGCAGTTCTGGGGTCACACCTTCCCTTCTGCTGACCTGTGCACTCTCACATCACTTCTGAGGGCCCCAGGAACACAGCCCTCTCACCAGCAGGGTCATTCCCTCTTGTTGAAGTCAACAACAAATCGTTCTTCCTGTTCCCAGGAGGAAGGGGCTTCCAGAGATCCTCTGTGCACAGGTATCAGAACTCACCTGTGGACTGGGTCACACATGAGACCTTGTAGGACAGCCATATGCTTGCCATGCAGAGGAAGGTGGCCATGAAACCAAAGACCTGCGGTGGAGAGAGAGAGAGAAGGTTTGCAGGCCATGGGGCAACCACTCAGGCAGTCCTGTCTGTGTCTCATGGCTGTGCGTGTTCCGTTTGTACATCTGTGGCCGGAAAGGAGCTTAGGAAGTCACCTGATCCGACCACCTCGACCCTGCTCAGGTGCAGAGATGAGGCCCAGAGAGGCTCCATCACAGCCCCAGGGTCCTCTAGGTTGGGCCAGGTCAAGCCTGGGAGTCAGGCCTCTTGGTCTCCACCCTAGGCCCTTCTCACCCTGGCTCGGGTTTATATTTACAACTGAGGTGGGGCCAAGCCACCTGGCTATCCTAGATGCATAAGAAGAAAATGGTGAAATCATACATTTAAATCTGAGTTTAACTTTTTTGGGGGGAGGGGTCTCACTCTGTCACCCAGGCTGGAGCACAGTGGCACGATCACGGCTCACCACAGCCTCAAACCCCTGGGCTTAGGTAATCCTTTCGCCTCAGCAGCTCACACCTGGCTAATTTTTAATTTTTTTTTTTTTTTTTGCTATATTGCCCAAATTGGTCTCGAACTGCCAGGCTCAAGCAATCCTCCCGCCTCAGTCTCCCAAAGTGCTGGGATGACAGACATGAGCCACTGCGCCCAGTTGGTTTAACATTTTGCAATGTTCTAATGGATTTTACTAGTGTGGTGACACTGTTTGTATCTTCTTTGTCATGGCTCTTTTCTGTCCTGACTTTATGGCTGTGTAGGAGCCAGAGCGGAGACTTTCCCATCTGGCCCCACGCTTGCACATATCACATACTATTAGACCAGGGTCAGTTAAGGTAGAGTTCCTGTCTTTCCTCAGGGCTCATACAGGGCTCACAGGTGACGAAAGCGGACCCAACCCGGCCCAAGCCTCCCTTGAGGGCCCACAGGAAATGACTAGGGAAAAACAGGCAGCTTCTTCTTCTACCTTGGGGGCTCCAAGTCTGCATTCTGTGCACTTTGAAGCCTGCAATCTGCCCACGTGCTCTCCTTCCCTCGGTTCCTTCCTTCCTGAGCAACACTGGGGGGGCTGTAGAAGCTAAAACCTGCTGACCACTTACTACGTGTCAGCAGGGTGCTAAGCCCCTTGGGTGTGTCAGTTCCTTCAATCTCAACTCAGTGAGGCGGGTGCTAGCTCAACCTGCCCCTCCCCCCCAGGTGACAGCTAAAGAAACTGAGGTCCAGGAGGTTGACTGTTTGGCCGAAGGCCACAGAGCCAGCAGGGCCAGCTAGGAATGGGAACCCAGGAGCCCGTCTGGCTCTAGAGGACACTGCTGCTTGACGGGTGCCCAGGGGTTCTGGGACCCACACAAAGGTCTCGGGCTCCCCATGCACCCGGACTGCACGGCAGGAACCACAAGCCACCCCCGACAGGAGGGGTGCAGGAGCAGCCAGATGAGGGACAGGAATTTCAGCAAGGTCTGGCTTCTTCTCAAACCCGGCTGCTAACCCCCTCCCCTTCCCCATCACCCCGCACTCCCCAGCCCATACCCACTCCTTCCCGGGTTCCTTTTCCTTGGCATCTTTTTTTTTTTTTTTTTTTTTTT